GGGCCAGCCTTCCCAGTGCCGAGTACAAGGGCATAATCACTTCCCTGGTCCTGCTGGCCACACTATTTCTGATACATGCCAGGATGCTGTTGGCTTTCTTGGCCACCTGGGCACACTGCTGGCTCATGTTCAGCCAGCTGTTGACCAGCACCCTCAGGTCCTTTCCCCCAGGCAGCTCTCCAGCCACTCCTCCCCAAGCCTGTAGCGTTGCATGGGGTTGTTGTGACCCAAGTTCAAGACCTGGCACTTGGCTTGTTGAACCTCATACAACTGGCCTTGGCCCATCCATCCAGCCTGTCCAGATCCCTCTGTAGAGCCTTCCTACCCTCAAGCAGATCAACACACCCACCCAGCTTGGTGTCATTTGCAGACTTACTGAGGGTGCACTTCATCCCCTCAGCCACATCTTTGATAAAGACATTAAACAGAGCTGGCCCCAACACTGAGCCCTGGGGAACACAACTCGTGACTGGCCACTGACTGGATTTAACTCCATTCAGCACAATTCTCTGGGCCCAGCCACCCAGCCAGTTTTCTACCCAGCAAAGAGTATGCCCATCCACACCATGAGCCACCAGTTTCTGCAGGAGATGCTGTGGGAAACAGTGTCAAAGGCTTTACTTAAGTCCAGGTAAACAACATCCACAGCTTTTCCCTCATCCACTAAGCAGGTCATCTTGTCAGGTCAGAAGGAGATCAGGTTAGTCAAGCAGGACCTGACTAGTGATATTAAAAGCTCTGCTTTAGCCATTTTGTACTTGGCTGGACAGTGTTGTTCATGAGAAGAATCAAAAAGTCTTGCCAAGATTTTTAATTTAAACAAAAACAATCATGTGTAACGTTAAAAGGTGGATCAGTAAAACACGATCATAGATAGCAGCTGCTTTGTGTGTTGAAATTAAATGACCTGAAGATAATGCATAGAGAAAGAAAGGAAGAGCACCAGAAAGTTCTCATAGAAAACTGAGGAATTAAAAAAAGAGAATGAAGAGAAGACAGCAGCAATTAGAGATAACACTTCAAGAAAGGATGAGGATGAAAATTAAGATGGTGGTTACACTCAGTCACCTGAAACTTTGGTTGTAGCAGTAGCAATGGAACGAAGGAGAGAGAAATCCAAGCTGAAATGGTTACAACAGACAGAGAAAAGAGGAACTTCAATGAGAACCACAAGTGCATGTCAGTAGATGGCAGCAGATGAGCAAATAGTTGAACCTTTTTTGAAAGAGGCATTTGTTGTTTGTGTTGTTCTGGGTTTTTTAAGAGAGATAAGTGAACAATGCTATATTCCAGTTTGAAAACACAAAGTACAGTAAGAGGAGCAAAGGAGATCAGCAGAGCTGAAGTGAGGTATCTGAGGGAGCAGAGCACCAGGAAATGAGAACAGATACGAAACACTTCAACTTCGTGCATGAAATACCTATTCTGAAAAAGACAACAAACTTTTAAAACAGAGACTTTTCAGAAGGACAGCAAAGATGGATAGAGGAGAGGCCACATCACTTGGATCAAGTCTGAGGAAAAAAAGAATAGTGGAAGTTTGGAGGAGAGAGACCAAGATAGTAAAACCAGCTAGGGCTGACAAAGCAGTTACCCAGCTGAGAAGACGCCAGAATTGCAGAGGGGAAACAACACACATTTAGAGTCAAAAAGGGTCATGGTATTTCCAAACACTACACAATACAACAAGAAAACAGAAGTAAAGAAGCAGATATTGGAGTGAGTGGGGTAATTCTGGAAAGAAAGGGATTTAAAAGGCAGTAGTGGAAAAATAAAATAAAATTAAAAAGGAGAGAGTTGATAAGTCCTCAGATAGACTGGAAACAAACAGTCCTGACAAATCGAAATAGTCAAGCGAGGGCTGCATTCTCCCAGAGAGATTCACTGTATTTTATGTCATTCATTCTTGACAACTTCCACATTAAAAGTGAGCAGTCACATTTGAGTATAGGGCACTTTGTCAGAAACTATAGCGAATACACAGACTCTTGTTCCTGCTTTCCTTCTCTTCCCTATGCCAATGTCCATCAAAAATAGCCTTTTTATTTTGGGTCCAGGTAAATTTAGAACAGAAAAAAAAAGCTAAGTAATAACCCTCTAGTAACAACTGCTTACACATATTCCTGTTTTGACTATCCTGGAACTTATTTAAGCAGTATATACACTAGAACACACACAAACACAATCAGGAGTGCCATTATTTATTATTGCTCTTTTAAAAGGAAGAAAAAAAGGATTTTATAATGTTAACACTGACAACACTGGCCAAATATAGATCAATATCAAAATATTTTATGTCTGTGGTTGATGGAGAACTTCATTATAGATGTTTAGGAAAAAAACCACAGTGGCAACACATGATAAATTGTAGACCCTGAAATAGATTTCACTGATCTCATCAGTCAAACCCCTTATATATTTTAAAAGCAATTAAATAGCACAATAAGAACATTTTATGACTGTAATTAAAATAGGCATTATACTAAAATAAAATCCAGATTTTGGTAGCTCCACTACAGATTATTAAAGTTTAGTAAAGTTTGTTTTGTTTTTTACTGAGCATTAAAAACTCTTCCCACCTCACATCCCTCCAGACCAAGCAGTATACAGGTCCTTCTCCAGGCTTATGAAAATGCTTTACTACTACACATGTGCCAATTAACTCACTCACTTTAAATACTATCAACTAATATATAGCTATGATGAACACTGACACAATCAGCAAAATATACCTTAGAAAAGTAAAAGGCACAAAGTAACATTTTTTTAAATGCTCACAGAGAAAACAAAATACTTACTGCTTCAAATTTGTCCCTGTTTTTCCGAAGATAGTCTACACAAGCCATCCTAACATCAATATGCCGAGACTGAGAGTGCAACACCTACAAAGGGAGAAAGAGAAGAAAGTGATGCTGGTTCTCAGGAGTTTTGAGGATGAGTCACAAATAATTAATGACTGTTGTCTAAATACAGGCTTGGAAATACTCTAGTTTTATTTTTAAGAGTATTTAAAACACATATTCATTCAGTAACAACACCTTTATGCAGGTGAAGCCTAAATTACTTCATCAAAAATTAAGCAACTGCAGAATTCACAGAATTACTAAACACAAACGTTCAACTTTATGAGGACTCACTGAGCAAAAGGAACAGCATTTGTTGTCATTCTTTAACGGACTCCTTTGTAAAGGACCTCAGTTAATTGAAGAAGTAAGTTACTGTAGGAGTAGATGAGGAAATGAAGTACCAACATGCACTCGTTCTAATGAAATCAAACCAAACCTAAGAAAGTGCAGGGTGACTTTCTCTTGACTTTGAGAGGTGTAAGTCTGCTGCCCAAATACTGATCTGGAAGCCAGGAATTCACATCCCAATGACAGCTGCATTCTACCTCCTGTTCAAATATTACTTTCATCATAGGTTCAGAGTTCTCTCTCATGTGACTTTGTCTGTACCCTCAGTACAATGCAGGGAAGTTCCAGTCAATTTAACTTGCAGCCTCTCTTGCAATCCTTACACATTACCCTTAATTTAAAACACTTCCAAATTCAGATCAGTTCAGTTTTTGTGCATGAATAGTACAGAGATTAGGCCACATTTGTGAATAAATACCCAGCTCTGAAAGACCTTTGATTTAATAAAACAAGAATGGTATGTATAAAAATTAATTAATAGGTGAAAAAAAATTCCATATACACTGGAGTGTAGGAGAAATCTCCTACATATTAAAAACATCAGAATATCAATATGTATTCATTCCCTTGAAATAAAAAAAAAAAAAACACTCACTTCAGATCAATGGTGTTTATTTGCCTGAACTTACAAATTCAGTGGGGAAAGTGATTTTTTTTTTTTTTTTTTTAAGTTAACAGTGTATAATTAGCACGGGAATCTGCACTCCCACAATCAGAAGCACCAGAGCTCCCACTGCTGTTTGTTTGTATTTAAGACAAGATGACGCTGTCACTTTTTTCCTATAGCAGTAACACTGAAATGGGGGAGGGGAATTCAACAGGAAGAACTGAAAATAAATTACTCACACTAATTTTATAGTAAACTAATCTACAAAGCTAAGAAAAAGGCCTTTTAGCTCTTTCACTAAATTCTGTCTCCTAAATAGTCTCATACAAAGCAGCTGTAGCCAAATGTTGAACTCTTACACTGAAAAAGGCTCTGAGGAGGCAGGTCAACACAGGTAAGAATTTCTTGATGACAGAGGCTGTAGACACAGAGCTCCCCCCACTCCACAAAACAGATTTTTTTTTTTCCCCTTGGCACACGGCTGTGTAACCTTAACCTATACCCCTCTGCATTCTAACACTAATTATCTCCCACTAATGAGATCCACTTCCCATGCTTTCACGCGAAGGAGCTTTAGTTTATGTAAGCAGTTACCTGCTCGGCCACAGCCCTGAAAAGACAAGATCCATCCTTGGCCACTCTCTTTCTGTACAAGCCCTGAGATCGCAGGTAGCAATCCATCGAAGCGTCCCCGGGGGCCTCCATGCTGCTGCCCTCCATGTTTTACCGCTTCACGCCGTGGAGACTGGCGGCACCTCTCCTAGCCCCACATGGCAAGCCGGACCCACCGAGCAGCCCGAGGGCCGAGTAAAGGGAAGAGCAGCAGGTGGGGGAGAGCGCTGGCCCCACAGCACTCCGGGTACCAGCAGCAGCAACAAGACGACAAGCAGC